TATCCCGTCCTTCTCATTCATGTAGGAACTAATGACACTGCTAACAGGAGCTTTGAAGACTTCAAAACATTAGGGAAGAAAATTAAGAGCACTGGTTAGCTTTCTCATCAATCCTTCCAGTTTATGGAAGAACGAAAGACATGAGAAAAAAATGCTCCATGTGAATTCCTGGTTATGATGTTGGTGCAGTTGTGAGAGATTGGATGCTGGAACCAGGGGCTAAGCTTCCAAGAAGATGGACAGCTGGCAAATGATGAATTGCACCTTACAAAGAAAGGGAAGGATGTACTTGGCCACAGTAAGGAGAAGTCTATTAGGAGGGCTTTAAACTGAATTCCATAGAGGAGGGAAAAGTACATCTGGGTGCAACATCAACTGAAAAAGGATTATGAATTGTAACAGTAAAAGAAACTCTAGTTAGATCTAATACTACTCTTCCAAAAATGTAAGAAAGAAACCACGGCCCTGTGGCCTTAGATATCCATATATCAGTGCCCAAAGTATGGGGGCGGGGGAACATGAACTTGGACTCTTAGTATGTGAGGGCTAATATGACCCAATAGCAATAATTGTTTATCAGTTTAGGTTAGTTTGTTGTTGTATGTTTTAAGGGTGTGTGTGTGTAAGGCTGTGGGTGAGGCTGGGTAATCTGGCCCAAATATTGTAAAGCATGAGGGATTTGTTTTTTTAACCATAGGCACTCTTTCCATTTTTTCAGTACTTGTTTTATTAATTTTTAATTGGCTTTAATATGTCACTGAGAATTCCGGGGGACAGTGGGGTGCCCCTATCAGTGGTCATGGGCAATGAAAGGTACAGCATTCTAGCCAACACAACAGAAGAGCATTTAGATGTTTGATGGCTATCGTCTATTCTGGTTCTTTTCCCAACTAGCTGAAACCAGGCAATATCAATCTAATGCCCTCAGGCCTGGAGGAGCTGCTAATGAATGCCAGATCAGTTCAGAATAAAACGGCTCTCATGTAATATCTAATCTAATCTACAATGAAATCTTGGATGAAAGGGCTGACCTGGCATGTATTACAGAGACCTGGATGGAAGAATTATGCTTGCACAACTTTGCCTACTTTACTGAGCAATGCAACACATCTTCCATTTAGTTCTCTCTTGGCAAGCCTGTACTGTTCCCTGCATCCTATTTACACATCTCCAAACCTTCTGGTACTTTGTTTTCCAACTTCCTCAGTTTGGATGCTCCATTGTCATTCTAATTTAATATCCACAACATCTTTCCTCTCAGCCCATCTTCTCAATGTTGGTTGAGTTGCACTCAGAATGAGAAAGCTGGGTCACTAATGGTGGTGGTCTCAGTCTCAGCTTAGGTACTGCATATTCTTAGCCAGCTGCCTATAGCATAGCATTCTAGCCCAGATAGAACTGTCACAGAATATTTTAATTATCAGAAAATACAAGACATTTGTACATCACACACACCAATTGTAGCTTGTATAAATTGTGGATATACTGTAAGTTGTAACTTCCTTTCTTCCCACTAGGAAAAATGGCATCTTTTTTTGTTCAATGAGACATTATGGACAGCTGTACATGTCTGATCAAGTAATGCACATGTCTGATTAAGTAAAGCATGTGGACTTATATGACTAATTCAGATTGCTAAACTCTGATAACTTTTCCATCTGAAATTCTGATTTTTATTTCAGCATACAGTTATAGAGAGTTTTAAACAAGTAGAAGGATGCTTTTAGGATCTAGTTAATTCCTGAGATTCTTTAACAAACCTGACACAGGGTAGGAGTAGGATTGCAGTTTTTAATCATTCCAGGAATATAAGCTTTAAGGACATTTGGACTGATAATGGCAGAACTTACAGCAGCATTTCTTCTTCACGCAATCCTATATTAGGCTTGCCTGGATGCCTATAACATCTTCAGAAGCAATGACAGTAACCACTACTCAAAACCTCAAGGAATATCAAAAGCTATGAATACATATATCAGAAATATCAGAAGTATCAGAAATCTAGAAATTCTGGATTTCTTGGCATGGGCATCATTATAGCATCTCTAGGCAGAAAAGTAGTACTGTGATGACTTTGATTTCAATGGATCATTTTCAGAAGTAAATATTTCTTAAACTTTTTAACAATGATAGCTAGACACTGGAGTTGAAATGGTAACATTTTCAAAAATATAACTACAGCTTCCTTACCTTGCTTAACATGTATGTCTAGCCTGCTTTCATACTGTATGTGCTCCTGCTACAAAGAAAAAAGCCTCAGAACCAAAAGATTTGTCTTAATATACTCCATGAGCTCAGGAACAAAATAAGATTTTTATCATATAAATATCATTATTTTAAAATGTAGTGCTAAGCTGATTTACCAATACAATGGTTAGCTACTGGAAAATGATAATAAAATGTTGCCTAAAGGAAAAACTGGTTTAGGTAAAACCTATACTAGAACACATATAGCATTTTTTCCCTACAGGGATAGTTTTCTTTATATAATATTACTATCCTGGATCAAGGAAATCTTTCTATGATGAATTATAAATATTTCTCTCTTTCTGCTTTTTACTAACAGGCAAATCACAAATACAACACTGTTCTGGGGTATCTGAGGGAGTGATGACCTGCTGGAAAATTAAAAGAAGGGTTGGTTGAATCAAAGCAAAAGCCTATCTTATCCAATATCCTCTTTCTTACAGTTGCCAACAACAGGTGTCTTCATAAGCCTATAAGAGGCATGGCTGGTATTCAGGGGCATGCTCTTTCTGTTCTCATTAAGACCAATGGCTATTATTACTATCTTTCATACCCATAAATTTGTCAAATCCATTTTAAACATTGTTTAGGTTGGTGGCTATGCATAATTCCATAAGCCAACTATTTGGTATATGAAGAATTATTTCTTTATATATGGTACTTTGCCATACCATAGCCATAGAGGTCTGAGCAGCACATATTGAAAATTAAACCTACAATGCGTTTTTTGTCCTTAATATCCTGCACTGTTTAGTTTCATTGGATGACCTATTATAACTTTTCTCTGTCCATGTCTTCCACACAGCATAATTTTGTTCCCCTTTTTTCACATTTTTCTCTTAAAGTAAGAAGCCCAAAACATTGCCAGTAATACCAGACTATATAAATGCATGGGATGCATAGGGCAAAATAGTTTTTAAAATGTATTTTCATTCAAATATGTCTACTTTTTGAACAGAAATTGTTAAATATATAGAAGGGCAGCTGAAATTGCTAATAGAGAGAAAATGTCTGGAGTGATATAACTTTTTCTTTCAATAATCCCCTAGATCAAATTAGTTACAACTGTAATGAACCTGAGAACAACAGATTTATTTCTGTGAGCTGTCCTGAAGCTATACAGCAAGGGGACAGCATATAAACACTTTAAACAAACAAACAAATAAATAAAAATAAGTGTTCCTCTTTTCTTCACAGTTTGAAATATTAGAGAATGTGGTACAAATAAGAATACTGCTGCTAATTTCTAAATTATATGTTATCTATACTGTACACAGCTGTTTTAAAAGTCATAATTTATTACTAGCAGAATATAGCTAGTAATAATTATAGAATATAGACTAGCCAAATATAACTGAATTAAAGAATCCAAATAGATTATTTCTTTTTTCAAATTCTGGTTTGAAAAAGTATTGTAAGACTCAAACTATGTCAAAAGAAGAGAGAAGTGAGTATAGAGAAATATTTGACAAGAACATTTTAGTTTACCAAGTGGTCACATTTTTTAACTTCGAAGTGGAATGATGAATTATAAATAATATTTGGGCTCATAAAGAGACATTAAGAATTCTTTTTGACGAACATCCATCTTACACATGGATTTCTTTTATACTTTATATAGACTAGGTTTTGAAAGAGAAGAATTAGTTCTTCACAATGTCTTAAGCTTTTATCTATTTCTGTGCTACTTGAAACCTTCTGGGAAGTATCCAGTGATGTCCCAGCACTAGCTCTAGCTTAATTGCACAAGTATTGGTTTATTCCAGCACCATGTCAACAGTGCTAGCATTGGATCCTTCCCACTAATAGCAAAGCACAAAAAGTCAGAGTACATATTTTAAATATTTGCATTTATTTTGATCACATTTTACATACATGATAAAAGCAAAAACATTGCTTTATAATATCTCTTTAAAAAGGTAAAATTTAAAATCATTTTAAAATTTTATTTGGACTGTACATTCTGATCTAGCAATCTGCTGACAAGGTTCTAACAATCTGAGGTTTTTTGACTTAGATCTGACCTATCTTAAAAGGCACAGTATGTCTGATTCTGCCAAAAGTTACTGCTTTCAGTAACTACTATAAGCTATCCATTCAACCTGTCTAAACTACTGAGAGGATGAATCTTCCACTTTCTTAAATGTATGCCTTCCTACAGCATTCTGAACCCTCTTCAGTGTTTGTATCTCTTAAGGAGAACGCAGTCCAGAGTTTGACAGTGGATTTACAAGCTAAGATACATAGTTTATTATAATCAGCAGTTAAGTGTTTGCTTTCATTTAAATTAGTTTCTTGCAATTTGGGAGCAAAGCTGGTGGTAATCAGTTGGGAACAATACTAGGAGAAGATTGGAAGATTTTGTGTGTCTATGTATGTACAAACACACACACCTCTACATCGACCCCAATAATGTTTCACAAACTGCAAAGGCAGCAAAATTGACATTAAAGCTCCAAGCAAGCTAATGTTTACAGTGGCCAGGGAGAGAGGAAATGCTTAAAATTGGAATCTGATATAACTATCTAGTCATTCTGGAGATCTTCCTGTTGATGTTAACATCAGGAAATTATTTCAGAGCAGGAGGATGAAAATAACCCTCAAAATCAGGTATTTTCCATACATAGAGAAAAGGTTTCTGTCATTATTGCTAAGATCATTTCATATGAATGCCTTACATGTTAATTTCTTGGGGCTTCACTGAAGTACCTTTTATACAAAATCAGCTTATTCCTTTCTCACCCAAAACTCACTTGTTTGATGCGGTCCGGATTGACAGTTGTCTGAGGCTGCAGAATGCTAACTGGTTCTGTCTTGGCCACATTTTGAGGCATTTCTCGAATCTTTTCAGCAATGAAGCCATGCACTGCATTTAGTGCTTCCACTGTGCCCTGGATCAAACACACCCGCTCTGTCGTACCTTTAGAAACAAACAAAACATATTTTGTTGTTTTGTTTTTAAAACATTAGTTCTGTCCAAAAACTGATTAAACTGTAGCTCTTTGGCTAACTAACTTCAAAAGAACAGTCAATTAACAGAATAAAGCATAATGACTAGAGTGGTCATGCATAAATTTCCTTGCATGTAAGATTGGGATATAATCTCTCTCTCCCTCCCTTTCTCTGAGGCAGCTGAGTTTAATAGGATACATCTCTGACTTTTTATTGGGAAGAACAGAGGACCTTTTCAGTATTTTGCTCATGAAACTGTACGTGCCAGTAATTATGTAAAATGATTCCTTTAACCCTAACCCTAAATTTGTTACATCTTTATTTGACCCTAGTGGTATTTATACTAGGCTTTCTAAACTCAAGCCCAATATTCTAGACATAGAAGTGAAGATTCTCTGTCTCTGTCTCTTTGGCTGGCTGGCTGGCTGGCTGGCTGGCTGGCTGGCTGGCTGGCTGGCTGGCTGGCTGGCTGGCTGTGTGTGTGTGTGTGTGTGTGTGTGAGAGAGAGAGAGAGAGAGAGAGAGAGAGAGAGAGAGAGAGAGAGAGAGAGAGAGAGTTTGTGTGACTCTTCTAGCTTGTAAAGCTTTTTGAAAAGAGAATGAATTTACTCACAGCTTTCCAAAAGTTATTTCAGTTGCCTTATCACCTGCTACAACATATTATGCTATATCTCAGAGTTTGTACCGTTATGTTTCCTGATTCTTTTATTTTCAGAAAAGCCTTTTCTTTCTGTTTCAAACCTTCAGCTTTTAAAAAGTAGTATCATCATACTTTCCTGAGACACTAAAATACCTGTATGTCACTGCATAGTACTTTCCACAAAGAAAAGTGAGGCATATATTTCATATTCAATACTATGTATCACAAGCACAAAAACCATGTAGACACAAATCCAGAGAGCTATGTTCATATTCCACTAGCAACACAGTACACATTTTCAAAAGAGGGAATCACATTAAAAAGAGTAGTATGTTGACTGGTTCTATCTCTGAAGGTTAATGAGCAGTATGTCACACCTAAACTGAAAATCGCAGGAACATATATAGAACCCTAGATCATAACACACACTTGAATGAATATTCATACAAAATCCACTTACGTACATATACATGTACACATACATACATACATAAAAGTTTGATCATGGTAACAACCAGGAATAATCAACAATAAGGAAGAATTAAGGATTGCCTGCATGTTTAAGTGAACCAAAATAGAGAGCTTATCCTTTAGATAATATACTAAGCCAAACTTTGTAATGCAGTTGTCTCAAAAATCTCTACAAAAATGTGTACATTAAGGAAAGCTGCATATCAAATGCATAAGTTATGGGAAATTGCTTATGTAAGTAAATTAATATTGCTATACATTCTTAAAATTCTTGGACAGAATACACTTCTAAGTCTATTCAAAATGACCCAAATAGACTAATTTATCCATCCATCCTAGAATCCATCTAATTCATAGGAACATAAAGACAAATAAGGTTCATTCAGTTGACTCTTTTGTTCACAAAGAAACCAACCAAGCACCCGTTGCAAATCTCCAAATAAGATAAGAGCAGGCACATTTTGAGTGCAGAGAGGAGAATATAACACCTACCTTTAATTAATGCAAAGGGATAAATCAATTTAAGGTGTAAACAAAAACATATCCAGTGAATGCATGCTGCAATTTATCTTGCCCTTCAAATCCACCCTGCAAGTTATGCATTCATATAATATATTAATACTTCACTTTCAATATTAAAAATTACCAATGCAATATTAAGTAACAGAAACACATAATCTAGTAAGAAATTGTAAAACTGACACAAGAGTTGTTCCTCACAAATTTGTAACTGATGTTAACATAATGGTAACTTTAAAATAAGTGTGGCTGTACTTGATGCACTTGGAGAAAAATGTCACTTATCAGTAGCTTAGCCTATGGAAAATAAAACTGAAATAGAACATTATATGTAGTAAACCCATTCAAGACATCCTCTTGCTTTCCTCTGGGATTTCGTCCCCAACTCAGTCATGGGTGACTTTGAGCCAGTTACGGATTCTCAGCTCAACTTACCTCACAGGGAGGGTTGTTGGGAGGATAAGATTGAGGAGGACAAATTAGCCACCGTGAATTTCTTGAAAGGAAAAAAGGAAGGATATAAAGATGATAAATAAATACATATGGAAAGATCCCTCAAAGAGTCCCCCAGTGTTTTGTAACAGATCTGGGGTGTATGATGGGGCTGCAGATGGAAGGAGAAATCTATGGAAAATAAATCTATTCTATCAATGCTTTTTGTTTTGGTAGTGGATGGCCAGTATTGGATCCAACATCCTGTAAGGTACACTAAAATGTAAAGACGAATACAGATGTTTGAACAATTCTAGGTATTTCAGTGTCCCCAAAAGTGTGGTTACTAGTGTGTTCTGCTAAAATACAAAAAATAAAATGGTCATATATTAAAAGAGCAATACAGTTTATTAAAAAGATGTACAAAGTCATCTGCTAATAAGCTGAACAATTTATAGGCTTAGTTACTACTTTGATGGTTGAAGGTAGGTGTCTTTTTAAAAAAATCACTACTTCATTTAAATATCCAGTAAAATTATAAAAACACTGCATAGCAAATAATATAAACCAAATTGTAGACATCCAGTAAGACAAGCTTTTTATTAAAAATATATGTACATTATAGGCATTTTAAACATCTGCACATTAATCTATATCACTACTAATTTAATTATAAAATATGTAATGCATTTTACTACATTATCAGGTAAAGCTCCAAAAGTCCCTTATAGATTAATACAAGAATAACACAGACCAGTGCTGTCAGGCTTACAGTTCAAGCATAAAAGAACACAGATGAGGAAAGAAGAGGGAAAAAAAGATTGACTACTTACATATGTAAGAGTGCCAACTAAGAATTGCTAAACCTAAGAACCCTACCAGGAGGGATAAAATAGTACCTTGCAAATAGCAATAAAACCATATGCTGTCTTAACTATACAAGCAAAACTCATGTTTTATTTACCTGAACTATAAAAACGTTTAGCTTCTTTTCATTTTAAGGCAGGAATGAACAATTCTGGGAGGAACAATTCCCATTTTTACTTCCAGATCCTAATCCCGTTAGCTGCATTCTGCTTGACAATGCAAAAAAATAAAAAATAAAAATAAAAAAATAATACCAGGGAAAAGCCATCTGGATTACTACTAAGGTCAACTTTAGTACTATATGGTCAACTTGTTTAACGTACAAATAACTGAAATAACCCAAATCATTTGCAAGCTAAACAACTGGGGCACATGGCCCTAAATTTGAACTTCCTGGTGTTCAACAGTGATCTAGATGCCTCTTGGTTTTTTTAAATGCAATTTCAAATAAGCCAAATTATACATACAGAGTTAGATATTTTCCTAAATTTCAGAATGCAAAGCAGATAAAATGTTTAAAAGTACTCTATAGGGAAAATTGATTGACACAGAATTAGAACACATGACCTCTTAGTTCTCTGAATCAAATGTCATAAATCCCACTGGGGAAATTTTCAGATTCATCTGCCATCCTGAAGGGCCAACCAAGGTTTTCATTCTGTGCTGCCACTGGCCTTGCCAATTCCATTGTGCAAGTGGCATAAACTGCTTATGCAACAGTAATTTAGAGTTTCTAAAAGGACGCTCCAAAATAAGTGCAAATCAGAAGAGAACAAGTCAACAAAGCTTCCATATTTAAGCTCTGCCAGTGTGTGTTCCTTCTGAAACAAATATTTCTGTTTGGTTTAGATTGCCCACATAAATGTTGAATTCTCAATACACAAGAGTGAATGCCCCATGCACAACAGATTCAATGGGTGTCTAATCACCACTGGACAATATCCAATGGATCAAATGAGGCTTTCTGCCAGAAAGCTGGGTACAGGTCTGAGGCCTTAATATCTGATAAGCACACATTGTAACTAAAATCACTGTGCTTTCTGTGTATTTTATTGCCCATCATGGAACTTTCTCTATGGTCTGAAATAAAAATAGTTTACCATTTTTATTTAAAAATAAACATTTTGTACACAACAGCCTTTTCATTCAATAGATAATTATAAAGCATGTTGCTACATTTGTTATGACACTCCACAATAAATAAAATATATGAAATACATACAGGCTATGAAATTTCAAGAGAATGGATGCAATACAATTGTAGAAAATAACTGGCAGAAATCCTGACTATTGAAATACAAATTAACTTGATCTATGGATGCAATTTTCTTGTACACTATCTTTTTCCTTCCCTTGTTAGCTTCACCCTCTCCAAGCTCTCTTTTTGTGTAGAACTCCTGTGGTTCCTGCGTTAAATGATCTCATTCTAAACAAGTGCACCAGGGAGTCTTTACAATGAAGTATTAATTGTCTACTATATGATAGGAAGTAATGTAGATTGATCAATGTAGCTAATGCAAGTGTTCTTGTCTCGGTCAGCAGACAAAATATTTATAGAAAACACAGATCAGCTTACATGGAAGATCTTGGAGCCTGACAGAGAGAGCACTTAAAGGGATGAACACTATCAAAATAACAGAAAGTAAAGGAGTCAGAGCCAAATAGAAATTTCATGAGACAAGTATTCTGTACACTGCGCTCTTAAAAAGCTGTAGGATAATAGATTTTATGTGATGTCATAGAACATGGATTTCCAAATTCTGAACTACAGTAAAAAAAGAAATAATTGTGCTATAAATTTTAAATGGAAGTAAATGTTTATGCAGGAAGTAAGTTAATTTTGAAATGGAAGTAATTTTTAACAGATCAAAGTATGTACATGTACATTAAAAATATGGCATAATAAAACCCAAGTGACAACAGTCTTTGAATAGGGGTTATATTCTGCCCCTGTCTATGAAATAAAGTGATGTTAATTTTTCACAAAAGAAGGCTAGTATTTACTAATGCATGCTAAAGAAGGGGAGAAAGATTATACAA